TGTGCAAATCATAGGAATGAGGGTTTTCAGGCGACTATAGCTTCAATTATCAAGTTTCCCGGTGTGATATTCACGTCACAACCGTCTGTTGGAAAATACTCATCCACATACACTACACATCAACTCGACATAATTGCCTAGGTACGGCCACGCAATGTCACTTTAACGTCCCCATAAGAGAAATTCGGGTGACTGTTTGGTTGACTGGTTAATTGAATTGTTCAATAATTAAGGAATAACTCTATAATAGGTACGCCAAAGAGCACTTACTCAAGCAACTGGATATGAGTTTGAAAGTCAAGTTGTTTGAGTAACTGCTTTTTAGCGTATTTTATTACCTAGATGTCTAAGCTTCACCTACGTAACTCTAATAGTAAGATGGCCTTTTTCGTAGCTAGAGGCGACAATCTAGTTACTGAGGATGGCGGAAGAGTTGGCTTCTTTTTCTTTTTTCTTATTTTGTTGTTTCATTTGTCTTCTATGTTCCTGTATATCATCTCATGTCATACAAATCCAAGTTGAAGTTTAAAGAAGCACAGGACTTCATCGTGCGTGGGCGTAGTAGCCTAATGTTCACCAAAGGACCCAGGCTTGTACTTACCTTTATAATGTACTGTCCCAGCGGGAATCACGTAGGAGATTTAGGATACTTTAAATCTTATGTTGGCGACTGACAAAGCCTGTCTAAACGATGTTCCATACCCAATGGGTTATTCAAAGTCACAATTGTAGCTTTCACGTCGCGTTATTGTGAACAAACCCCAAATTTGGGACTTTGCAAATGGCCTCGGATCGTGTTTGGATGACATTTAATCACACAGAATACCTGTTGTAAGCCAAAAATAGGATCGAAATGTTCCTAGTACCAAAATCCTTTCATGCATGAAAATGAACTTCACTTACAGTGTTTTGAAGCAAATTAAATAAACCTTCTCGCTCGGGGTTTGGGCAATTTTCCAATTACGTGAATCGGGAAGGCTGTTAAAAGTAATTTGTCTTCTGCCTCCGTGGGAGTAGCAGAGACACAAATACAGTGCTACTGTTACTCCGGGGCATTCTGCTGGGTAATTGTATGCCCTGTGGGTGGTGTATAACACGGTACAAAAGTCTCAGTAACTTTCCCTCATGCGCTGTAAATTACAGAGGGGAGATACCATGTACGCGAGGTACATGCAAAATGGAACAAAAGTTTATTGAACTGCATGACTAAATATGTTGTAACTTGATCTACGAGAGGTCCTCAAGATTGTAGTCGAATACATTTCTTCCAGAAAGAATTTCATCTGCCATGGCTATTCTATTTCTTAACTCAACTAAACTCTCTTATTATGTTTACCTTCGCAGAATGAAACATTGTTTTTGCTCTATTTCTTCGTCCTCTTCTTCTACTCCAAAATGACCTGAACCAGACGTCTATATCTGTCACCATGGTAAATGGTGTTGGGTTACATCATGTTGCAATTTTGTAGCAGGAGGGATTTAGACTCCTGCCTGACCATACATATGCATGAATGTGTTTGAGTAAGAATTAACTAGAGCAGACCACATGCGAAGGTAAACATTATTCCTTTGCTTTGCAAACGTTACATGTCTAGTTTCTTATCTAACTCTCTAGAAACACCCCTGGCCAGCAAATCTAAATCCTCTAAGTCCCGTAGATTGTTTGTCAGTTACAATGCTTTTACGTCCAAGGTTATCTCACTACTGATTGATATCTGCAGTAAGGGGACAAGACAAGTCCGGATGTGAGAGATAAATGTGAAGAAGGGTGGCTTAAGAACCATTTGCTTTCCGACGGAAAAATAACAAATACACCATGGAAGTGCACACAAATCACCCTAATGTTGTAAAACGACAACGCAAAAGGAAATAGAATGAAATATGTGTACATTAGGATACTGCGATGGCTTCGGGAAGAGACGTCTTGACATATGGACCTTTCATGGCAAGGACATGCCAAAACTGCGTTGTAAGCTTTTCCGGGAGATTTAGATTCGCAGCGTTGCGGATGCTATAGAGTGTTGCTGACATACGTATGGGATTGCCGTGGGATGTTGCCATTTCCGACAAGAGAGACATGATAATATATCCACATGCCAGAGCGGTTTGATCGCAGTGCTTCGATTCTTCTATAGCCCGCTATGATTGATAACGTCAATTAAGTTCTCATAAGTTCTCATATCGATAGGGCTTGAAATAAAGTTTATCGTCATGTAGAAACAAATGTTGCACATGAAGCTAGTGTGTTACGCCGAAGGGCGGTTATACTGGCTATACCGATACCGATACAGATACTGATACATTCCTGGTGATTCGGCCTCTATGTAAAGTACTGGACTTCGGCTAAACATGGTATCCAACGTTATCCTTAAAGCCGACAAGATCACTCACACCTTAATGTATAGCTGCGCGAATTATATCACTTTATGCCTAGGTCGGCACTCTAAGAGCACCATCATGTTCTATTTAAAAAGTTACATGAACCATGAATGTCAAGGTCACCTACTTGGCAAGGACGTATCTCAGAGTCATGGTCATCCCTAAACCCAACAAAGTCACTCTCAGCTCTGCAGCTCGAAGTTTATTACTTTCTGAACCTACATCGGCAACCCAAAATCCCTATCATTTTTTACTAGAGAGCAGTTATCATGTAGGCCGAAGTTCAAGGTTACTTCTGATATACTAGTAGTGTCAAGGCAAAACGTATTAGTCACTGACAAAACAGAACTTTTTAAACATCCAATGCAGTAAGTCGGTGTGTGGGCGTTTGAATGTCTCACGTGCACCGATAGGCGATCTCGAAGAACCCGTGTACTCGTTATCGTTGAAAGTTTTATGCCACTTACACAGCTAACCGCTGGGAAACAGTAAACCACGCATCTTGAATCACAGTCAATATCCAAAAGCCACAAAGGGCGGTTTAATTGCATAGACGTCCAACTGAAACAAAGTGTGTACAACCGAGGAAAAGTTGTCTCAACTGCGATCTCTGGCCCGCGGCCATAGGCACAGATGGTTGGCCCGATATAGCGGCCTGTAAGGCAGATTGACAATACCCATCTTTTACGCAGAGGATATGCATCGCGAGTATGTAGGTCAGCGTAGATTGCTCTCTGGTGGTATAAAACGCGTTCTTCAATATCAATTTTCCCGTGTCATTATCTGATGATTGTGTCTCGCATCGATTTTAACCTTTTTGACTTAAAATCTTGTTTTGAGGCAAACAGCGACTTATTAACCATCACAAGCGTCCTGAATTTGACCTCCCTAGAGCTGTTAGCCGTGGTCTCAAACAAAACAAGTGTAGAATTTTTAAAAAGCTCATAAGGCGCGCACGGGCTCTAAATCTTTCCCTAGTTAAGATTCCAGCTCGTGACCCAGAAATAGCCGGCCACGCCTGATAAAGGGCTTTCAAGTCATCGATCTTTCCGGCCGGCAGTTTGTCACAAACCTCTTAATGCTGCATCATGTGGTACAGAGCACTCCGTAATGTATTACTCGATCATGGATTAAGCTAGCTAAACTAGCACGTTCGCGCGTCTTTTTTCATGATAGTTCATGTACGTTCAGTCTTGAAAAAAATGCTAGTAAACATTCCCAAGGTTGTTGCGTTTTGTCTTCGGAAAGTTTTTGATAAGAATATATTCATATCAGTTCAATCACAAGACTCTAGGGGATACGTTCGTGCAGTATCATGTAAAAAGCTGTGTGATATCTGTTACTCAGTATTCTCAGCAAGCACACGATAATACGATGTGTCCGCGCATAAAATACTGCTGCCTGGTAGGATCCACAAAGTTCAGGGAAGTGATATAGACGATAGTATCCCCTCTAATAGCGCTGTGTTGGGAAACGAGGCGGCAGCCATATTATGAATCATGTGCAGACCTCCTATGTTGGTTTTATCTTCTCTCGGATACATTCTTCACAAAGAAATCAAAACAGGGGAAATTAATGGATCAGTCTAGTCTGTGGGGACGTTATGATAGGGTTTGACGTTGTTTTCTTTCCGCAGACGGAGCCGGCGGCACCAATATCAAAGTCCCTTAAGTAATAATGATTGAATTATCATTGCTGTAGGGCATGACAGTTACTTCGGTTGTACGAGCTTAATTCTTTCAGATAAACGTATCAAACACCTTGTCAAAACGGAGTTTTATATTAATAAGTCTGGGTAATAAATTTTATGTGTTGTATCCAATTATTAAGTAATAATAATTACTTGGCCAACATAAGTGCCTTTCTTTCATTACCTATTTGCTTACAATATTTCTTTATCCGTTGGTCATATGTCTACTGAACGTTGGATTCAAAGTAAATTTGTTGTCATGATATTAAGTAAAAAATAACCAATGTCATTTTTCAAGTCGTACATTAATATACGATCTTCGCTTCTCGTTTCAGAGCACACAGTTCCATATGATATATTTGTACAGGCGCGCGCTAGAATAGACCGGCGGAAAAAACTTTGCACTTTGCGGGACTGATGTATAATCCAGGCAGCATACATCCTTCTCCTCTGCTGTTGGGAAACCGTGATATAAGATAGGATCCTAACATCAGAGTCAGGCCGCGCTGTCAATATAAACCACTTCTCAGTTCCTGTCCGCGGGGACATTTGGCAGATTAAGGCGGCAGAAATATGCATGCGCATATCCTAACTTCAAGATAAGATTCAAGCCTCTGGTGACTTCAAGGGCCCAGGGATGCTTCTTCTTAACGTCCGCGTCTGAGACAATCAAAGGAGCTGGGTCTCCTTAAGGATTCCTCTTGTGACAGGCGCGTGGATGATGAAACGATGCTGTTAGGATTACATATTTATGCTGCTAATGGTATTCTAAGCGTTGTGAAGGAATATTGAAGCTGGGGTGTCCCTCTTTTGACTCGTGAGGGAGAATACAAAACTACGTGATGGAGCAAACTCATATCAATGTTTATTGGAATGAAATGTTGTTGGGCTGTCATTGCTGACTGTGATGTTCCCGTCGTCCCTAGCGTAGACTGGAGATCAACAGCATCTCGGCGAACATGGCGGACGGCGCGGTGACCGGCGTGCCTCCCCTGCCGCCACGGTACCGCTTCAGGGACCTCATCCTGGGAGAGTACGCCAGCCAGGACGAGGACAGGTAAGTCAGAATTTTACTCTGATTTGGGTCAGGATTTTTGGCATTCCTAAAATATTACAGAGATGTTTTATTGCATTTTCTGTACGTATGCACCTCAGGGAAATGTGTAAGTACGTTGGCATGGAGATGGGATGGTAAACAACTTATCGGATGAAATGTACACGACAATTTCCAGGAAAATGTAGCTAGGTTACAATCTGTTGCCTCTAGCATAGAGCATGTCTTTATTCCATATGATTGTGTAGTCCTGTGGTCATGTGTTGAAAACGCACGTGCTTGAGTTTTTACTGCGCGGTTTTGCGAGTTGTAGGTTGTAAATCTTGATGTGAAGGAACGTGGCGCCCAGGAATTCCATACAGGTTTCCCCTCCGAGCTGTGCACTCCTCTAAGTAGAGATTCAGCCTGGAGGAATAGTAGTACATATCATAGAGTATTCCCATATGGTAACTCATCCTCGATGGAGTCGCTATAATAAATATAATCGCATTTTGGTGCCCACGGCGTCTGCAGCCAACTAAGTAGTTGGTTGTGTCATTGATGATGGTGTTTCCCACCAGAAATTAGTTGACTTCAGCAGGTTTGCACAATGACATATGAGTATGTATGGACCAAAAATGCTCATTAGAAAGAGGTGGTAATAATTCATGCCATAGCCACAATTCTTGTGGCAAACTTAAGTTCTCTGTTCATAGTGCCTTAATCCAGTGTTGGAATTTCCTCCAGTTATCCTTCCTGATCTTTTTTCAGTAAAAAGTCCTAAATAGTTGTGTCCGTTAAGATTTGTCATGCAAAACTTTTAAAATACAATTGTATGACACAAGTAGCATTACATGTATCTCTGACATTTACACTGTTTTTAATTGCCCAAAAAGCCATTAAAGCACTAAGTTTCACACTGCTTAAATACCACTTCCACAGCAAATTGCAACTTAGAATACATGCAGGAGGTGATGTAATGGTGAAATCCTGTGGCTATGTGGCTCAAAGCAAAAGACATAAAAATCAATGGGGTGCATATTATTAGGCATATTACAACTACTACATGTAAATTACATGACAGCATTTTATACATTGTATGTATCAACCAACTGTAGTCAACACAATTTTTTTGCAAGGAAATTGTGCTGGTCCTTTGTGTCTCAGTGCTTTGATTTTTAAGCTAAAAGAATGACACATCCTTAAACCTTTTCACAGTTGTGTGTTCCATACTTGTGCCATATTGATTATGCCTGGCATAAGTCAAGACAGAGACGGACTAAAAGCTTTTCATAGTACTCAAATGTTGTGTGAACATGTTAATACATTTTGTGTTTATGAATTATGTATGACCAACCACTTTTATAATGGCATTAAGGTGGGCAGATGCATTTTAAATGTAGGCCAAGCACTCAAAGAACGTCAAAAATATTTTTAATAAAGAAACTTTTTAGATTTTGATGGCTGAAAATTAGTCTCTTCATTGATTTAGAATAATGCTAACCTATAAAATACATGATGATGGTGGGAACTGTTAATGTTGTGACATTTTGCACTGTAAATTCATTTATTTGCATTGTCAAAGGAAGGTGGACGTGGTTTTTCTGGTGGATTTAAGTTTGCACTTGAAGCAATTCTGTAGTAGTAATAGTATATTCAATCACTCATCCTTGCTAATGCTCTGGGCCTCTTGCCAAGTTTTCTTCCAGTTGGTCCTATCCTGTGCCCTTTGTCAGGCTGTGGCTTAGGTCGAGACCCAGATAAAGTACCCAGGTCAGAACTCAGCTGGTCTCCCCATCTATGCCTGAGTCAGCCTCTAGGTGTGGTAATTTATTGGAAAATAACACATATTCTCAGTGCTATGTATTCAAGGTGGAGAGGTCATTGCAAAAGCTGTGAAAATTAAACCACTGCAATAATCTAAAAATTTATTAACAGTATTTTGGATCAGCCACAGATCATGAACCTTTAATATATCATGTGTAATGAATGAGCCATATTGCTCCACAACTGTACAACACTTGCAAGACAATAACAATACAGTAAAATGATATTACTACAATGATATATTAGGATATTAAGGTAAAATTACACCACAGTTTGGAAGCACCTAAACAAATTAGTACACAGTACATATTTTCCTAACCCCTCAATATGCTTATTAGTCCCCTAAGGCTGTTTATATGGTTATTTGATACCTAGAGGTTGGGAAAATTTAGAAGGGGATGACACAGAGTCCTGTGGTATATTGCATTTCATAATGAAGAGGCTAGAGGGGGTGATACTCATACATTAATCATGCCAAGGCAGTTTAGTACTGGATCGCATGTCAATTTGACTTGTGTCCTGCATGACCCAGATTCCAAGGTCATACAATCTATTTAGAAAAGAGTTGGAAACACCATGTCTATCATTACATTATTTTTTGTGTTTCGATCTTGCCAATTTTTGTGCCTGCCAATGAATGACTATTAAAAAAAGAATTAAGATAATGTTTTCTAACAAATTCAGAAAATAGACACTAAATAAAAGGGGGTTAAGTTTGCTTTTTTTAACATTTGTATATAGAGGGCAATCATGCCAGTCCTGGGTTTTGGTCAATTTTTCAATTAAATACAATGTATATAATATAGAGTGTCTGACTTAAAACTAAAAACTCACAAACAATGCTGAAATTCTTCCAAATGTTTTCATTATCAGAAACTACAGGAAAGAAAATTGATACCTATTTCCTTTCATGCCCAGGTGTGTGGAGAGGGGATTCGGTTCATCTGAAAGTATCTGTTGAAAAGATGGGTCAATGGGTTGATTTTCATGCCCCTCCCATAGACATACAATATATCTGACACATGTTTGGGTTTAAAAGTGAAGTCACTGAGCAGATGCTCTAACACATGACATTTAAGACTTTGAATTCCATCCCAGCTGCAGTGTAACATAATATGTTATGATGAACATCTGCAGCCATTGCCAACATTTCAAATAACACAGACTGACCTCACACTTCACTCTGACTGAGCTAATTATGGAACACTAAGTCTTGTTGGTCGCTGGATTTACCAAGGATGGCCAGGGCTACATCGTCTGATATTCTCCCTATCACTGATGGTGATGATTCTCCCTATCATGAACGGTATGAGATTTGTTGCATGATTAGTAGACTCAGAGTTAACTTTAAAGTAATGCCTACTTGTAGCAGTTGGTCCAAATGTTCCATGGTTCAGATAGTACACAATGTACAAAATGTACTGGTAAGCCTTACCGTATCATTGCAGTATGAGCATTGCTCAGTAATATTCGGTTAAATTACAAGTGGTACAGTACAATTTGAAGTATCCTCCTACGTGTATTGCATCAGGATCAGAACACATCCTCTTAAACTTTCATAATCCAATTTACTGATAGATTGTGACACAGTATAGACCAATGCATCATTTGCAGCCTGACTAGCTTGTTGTGTAGGACAAAAGTTGGTGATATATGAAATACTAAATATAGTAGACTGGGTTGCCACTCGTGGTGCCTGTCAATGCCTGTTGACAGACAGGGTATACCCTTTGGACCAGCAAATCTCTATACATGTACATGTACAAGGTATTCTAGTCAGTCCAAGGCCTATATAACAATATTAAGTTTCTTACTGATGGCAGTCATTGAGTTGAATCTTAAAATATAAGTTTAACCTTCCCACTGTCAAACAATATTGTTGTGTGACATATGCCAGTGTGTCAATGAAAAAGAACGCATTGCCAAGTATTATAGCAACTTCTTTTTTACTCTTCATTGCCTTGTTTTTATTGATTTAGAAGACTTCGAATGATTTATGCCAAAGGTATTACCTCTTGCACTCTTAAAGTTAAGCCCTATCCCATATCCAACACAAATTTGGTGCAGGTTGAAAGTTAGACGTCTTCAACTAGACAACTTGTTACATGTAGTACACGTAGCAGCCTTTGGCTCATATCCAACTTATCTCCTGAACAAATGCAACAGGCAGGAGATGACTTACAGATGAAAATGTATAGACTAGTATGTGCAGTAAATTTTCTGCATTTGAAATTTCAGATTACAAAGGATACACTAGAATAGCTCTTTTATCCTCACTTTTAGGTCCGTCTCTTCCAATGTATTAAACAGTTGTGAACATTGCTGCAGCAATATAAATCAGAAATTTTAGATTTCTTGGAAGTACTTTGGGTTTCTGTGCATGTGACTTTAAAAGTTCACAGACCTCCTCATATTGACTACCTGGCACATGCTGAGTCACCTGCAGATGTAAAATCCCTATCAATCAACTGTCAAAATCACCTCCCACCCATCATGCAACTGAAGCAATCAGGACTAAATAGAAACACAAATTCCAGCAATTCCTTCGCCCCAAACCATACTACCATTCTTGGAAATAATCTACAGGTGGAAGATGGAAACTTTAGATTCAAATGAAACTCTATGTGACTGCACAGTTGAGGGTTCCCCGCATTTCCAGATGGAGACATTTGGGTCATCAGAACCTTGGGAAATCACTTCATACTTGGTTATACTCCAGACTATTGCTTCCAGCTCCTACAGCTGCTCTGCTGGAGGCATGGGGACCTCATGTCAGCATCCCCAGCTGCTGATGGCTCATGTTGCCATGACTACAAGCCTAAAATCTATCATCCTTGTCATATCTTCTCTGAGGCAATTGTTCTGTTCATAGCCTTCAGTGGTTTCAGGGTGGTTTAGCACTTTGCTAATGTGGCTTTGTGCATGAAGGAGTGTTTTAAAGTGCAGCCATGTGATGGTTGAAACATTCGCCATCAGTCAATCCTTAAAAGTCTGACTAAGGTCAGTGACATGTACATTGCATGTTTTGCTACTTTGCTGAGTTTGAAAAAGAAAGCAGGCTGTCCTTGCAAAAACTGTACCAAGGGGATTCTTAGTGCTAGAGAGGTGACCCTGATCTGTGTGTGGTCTCAGAACCAATTTCTCAACTCAAACTTGGACTGATTTCAGACTTTGAGAATTTTGGGTTTTCGTGACTT